AACAGGTGACTTCAAGACTCCAGCAGACACCATCCATCCATCCGGCTGTAGGTGGTCAGTTGAATCTAAAAGCAAAGCGGATCTAACAAGCCGTCCCTCCAGTTGTGCTGGCTTTGTTTTGCAACTTCCCTTTCTTTTTGTACTTGGCTGTGAAATGTTGCCCAGTTTAAATAGCACAATGCCCATGAACACACACACTCCACTTCTGAACAGCATCCCATACACACGTCAAACGGCACAGGTTGGGCCAAAGGGCCCAGTCTCCTTTGATGCCATACTCTGCTACGATACTCTGGTGCCCTAACAGCCATCTCTGCACATATGTGCATTCTAGGGCCTGGTACTGTAACTGTCACAGATCAGTCTCCATAATGTAGAAACAGGTAAAAGGGAAGCATACATATGTTCCCAAGTTGGGGCTCATTTCAACACCAATTTATAGCCCAGAACAATCGATGAGACAAGACTGGGTTGTGTTTTAATACAGAAGTGATTCTATTTTATGAGCAAGAATCTCGGAGCCAGAGGTTGGGAGTTTGATTCCCTTCTCCCACCCCCCAGGTCAGGGGCTGTACTCAGTGAGCCATAAAATCCCTTCCAGCCCTGGAATTCTAAGATGGTGATGATGATCATCATCATCATTATTACTCTCGGAATGGAGAGTTTCAGATGGAGGCACTACTGTACAAACAAGGCAACAGGTTAACAGAGCTAAGTCAGCAGTATAAAAGTTAAGCCTCAACACCAGTATAAGGGGGATGATGATGATCATCATCATCATCATTATTGCTCTCGGAATGGAGTTTAAATTTCAGGTGGAGGCACTACAAACAAGGCAACAGGTTAACGGAGATAAGCCTCAACCCCAGTATAAGTGGGGGGAAAGTTGCCGAAGGTCAACTCCATGCAAAGTTAAAATAAAGTACAGCATGTAAGAGATTAAGAGAAAAGTTATTAGAGAAAATAAAACAAACCATAAGAAACATTCTGGGGGGAAATTCTTACAATTAAAGGGGACTTCCTTTCTGTAAGGTATAAAAAGTGCTTGAAGAATAAATGATACATTCCATTATTTCATCCCTGGGATGTCCTACTCTGGAGCAGCTTCAATCAGCCCTTTTTTCTTGAATCTTTAGATTAATTTGAATATTATACCATGCTCATGTATGTTTTTCTTCTTTTACCCTTTTCTTTCTCATTATTTACAAAAATGGTACTTTGGTGTTTCTGCCTTTCTCACAAGTTTTGGTATCAAAAAGAAAAAGAGGAATTTTTTTTATTTCCTGCTAATTAACTATAACTCCCTCCCTTGCCCTGCTTCTCTGCCCTGATGTCTTTATGGCTTGCGGACTGCATCTCGCATTGTTGCAAAGCCACTCAATGCTAAGGCTAATGTTCGCTTTAGGATGATGGCCGATGCAGTCCCGGAAAGCACCAGCGTGCAAGCTGACCTCAGTGGGGCCAGCTCTATTTCCCCCTTTAAACTGCTCCATAAAAAACAGTATTTTCTTGCAGGGGACCCTAAATATTGCAGAAGTCCCAGAAATTTAAGTGTTCGCAGAGGAGAGACGGAAACCGGAGAGCAATTGTTTGATCTCAATGTGCATCACCACTACTGTATTTGCTAAAAAATGAGGGGAAATGATGTCTTGCATTTATATTTCAGAAGAGGCAGCCACACTTCGTCTGTGCAAGCCGATCAGGCAAAACTGGAAGAAACAAAACCGAAACGATAAAAACATGGTGCACCTTAAAGACTAATTCTTATATTTTAATGTGAGCTTTCCTGCTTCTCTGGATTTTGCCCGAATTTAGGCATCAGCACTTCCACCTCATTGGGCAAACTTTGGGTTTGTTTGGTGTCACCCCCACTCTCCATGCCAGGGCTGAAAGGAGAGTCGAGAGGAGGCCAGCTGTTTTCGCTGGAAAAAAGAAACCCATAAAAGAATAAATAGTCTTTGGAGCAGCTCCCTGTCCATCTCCAGGACTGCTACCCGGAGAGAAAGAAGGGTTCCGGGGCTGCCTTCGGGAGCAGTGGCCTTTCAGGCTCCGATCCTCAGCCCTGCAGAAAGTCAGCAAAAGCCTTTTTTAGGATGGCTTAGGAGCATCCTTTCTCTCTCTCCCCCCCCCGGGCTTTGCTCTGCTCAAACTCTCTTCCGGGGGTTTCTGGCTCCCCGCAGATGCTGCCTTAGGGGTGCTCCTCTCTATACGAACCCTGGTTTGGGGGTCCGTTGTCAGCAGCTGCCCTGCCGGCCCGGATCCAGGGCCCCAGGATGATGGATGCCAAGGAGAAGGCACCAAAAGGGACCGGGTCTCCCCCCGCCCCCGCCTCCCAAGGTCGCTTTTGTGGAACCCCCACGAAGTGAGGCCGGAGCCTCGGTTTGTTTCCGACCCGGCGTCCGGTTTCATCCCCGTCGCCGTCATCCGATGCCCGGGCGGGCTTTTGCCAACTTCCAAAACATGGTTAAAAATTCAGAAGGAAAGTTGTTTGCAGAGAAGCCGGCCATTGTTTGTCACCCCGGGGGTGGGATTGAATTACGCACGCACGCCTGCACACACATGCACACCGTCTCTCTCTCTCTCGCTCGCTCGCTGCAAGTTTGCTCCCTGCAAGAGGACTCCCCTGAGCACGTGCAGAGAGCATTTCCCGGACTGCGCTCGTGGTTAAAAATTCAGAAGGAAAGTTGTTTGCAGAGAAGCCGGCCATTGTTTGTCACCCCGGGGGTGGGATTGAATTACGCACGCACGCCTGCACACACATGCACACCGTCTCTCTCTCTCTCGCTCGCTCGCTGCAAGTTTGCTCCCTGCAAGAGGACTCCCCTGAGCACGTGCAGAGAGCATTTCCCGGACTGCGCTCTCTCTCTCTCTCTCTCTCCATCAACCGCGCACGGGCCAACCGGGGTCTCCTGGGCTGGGAGGAGGCCCCGAACCCCCCAGCCCGGGAACGGGTGAGGAGGGGGACCCGGCGGAGAGAAAACCACCAGCGCCAGCTGATCGGCCCCGGCGGAACTCTGCACAGGCTCAG